TACTCATTCACTCATTCATTCAATCATTCACTTATCCATTATGTCTGCATGTTCAGAAACATCAGTTATGTGAGCAGAAGTGATGAAAAGTGAAGTCTAAATTTGTTAAGCAGTTTAGAATGTTGAGGGCAGTGAAACATGGAGCAATGAAAAATAGGAAATTGAGTATACGATCTTTAGAAAAAATAGTACTTTTAGTACTGCTCTCCTTTCCCCCTTAACTTCTTAACTAAAAAAAAAAAAAAGAGTTTGCAAATGCCATTCTTAGTCATTGTAGTACCTGATTCTGGCTCTACTCTAATTGTACTTTCCACGTGGCTGAATAATATATGTAAGCAAGTTAAGCCTAAAGATTGGTATTAACATTTCTTTGACTGATAAGTAAACTCACATGAGCCGTGAATTACCTGCTCACTGTCTTCCTTTAATATTACCAGTTGAAAAGAAGCAATCCCCAATTTTTTAAAAATAAAGACAGGCTTTTGATACTTTCAAGATGTCTGCACTTTTTAAACCATTCAGGAGTTGTTGGTTTTTTTAAATTGATCACCTATTTTGTGCTTTGTACTGCAGTAATTTCTTCTTCTGGAAGTGTGCTGTCAGCATTATCCTCTATAATTAGAGCTTGTGAATTTTCATAAATTATATAATTACTTTGAGTTTCATCATCTGTAAAAAAAAAAAATAGACAATATCTATTTCACAGATTTGCTGTGCAAATTAAACGGGATGTAAGGGTTCTACCTTCAAAAAATATTAGTTCCCTTCTCTCTCTAGGTCCCTCTAGAGATCAGGACATTTATCAGTGGTTCTCAACCTTACTATGAGAAACCTCTTTTATTCTCCATGGATTCCACTGTCTTTAAAGATTCTGTCTACCAACTGGATTGACATTTCATTAATCAGATAATAATGGCTAATTGGAACTCTCAAATTGTCAGATATAAAAACTAATGTAAGTCAAGGCTAGATCCTTGAGGTGCAAGCACAATGTTTTATCTCATTAATGGCCTGTAGATCACCACAATGTATGATAATGATTTCTGGTAACTAGTCTCAAAGATCTGAGTCAATATAATTATTGGTCAAAGCAAAGATACATAATATTCCACCTGTATAAATTTATTAAGCGAATCATACAACTTTAACTAGGCTCTTTGCAATACTAAAAGTAATTCATTTCTATCTCTATAGACTCCTGGGAAAAATATAATTTATGTACCATAAAGTTAGTAATTTTCTATATCTAGAGAAACTATTGGTTACGCTACTGATTTGTTTTAAGCCAGTATCATTAGTAACACCATCTTCAAATTCACAAGTTACATGTATTTATCTATAAAAGTAGGCTGAGATTCTGTGTCTTCCTTTTGTACTTATAAGAACAAAATCCAAACCCTCCACCATAGACTTAGGCAATTTGTCCCTTGCCAACCTCATTTACCAGTCTCTTCTCAGCTTCCCACAACGGCCTTCTCAAACATGAGTAGCTGCTTCCCACTTTAAGGCTTTTGCACCAACTGGAGCCTGGTTCACTCTTCTTGCAGGTCGTCACGTGACTGGCTGTTTGTCATATGGGTCTCAGATTAAATATTATCATCTCAGGGAGCTTTTCCTCAACACTCAATCTAAACTCTTGCATCCCTCTCTATCATTCATCCTATTATAGCTTCTTCATGGCATTTGTGAACTCCAAAATTATCTTGTTCACTTATTTGTTTGTGTACTGTTTCTCTCCCTGACCACCAAACCCCACTGGCATAAAGGATAAGTTTTATTCACTGCTCCACCTCTAGTTCCTAGAATAGTTCCAGGCATCCAATAATCACTCAGTAAACATTTGTCGGATAACTAACCAAACTGTTTAAGATTATTTTGGGGAAGGACTCTGATTTCTTAGTTAAGAATTTACATTTAGCATTCAAAATTGCTGATTCAAAAGGAATAAAGTTCTTTTGATAAAAAGAAGAAGAAAAATGTACACAACAATATTCTACTCAGCCAGTGGTCTTTATTTTCTTTTACTCCAATCCTTTGGGATAGAAGGATATGAAAATCTATTCATGTTTCACATACTTCATATGTCACCGCATAGAAAAATTGAATGAATTTTTGTTTAAGTTGGATGATTTTTTAAAATTTCAGCTTTATTGAGGTATTATTGACATAAAAAACTGTAAATTTTCTTATGATAGTATACCATGAGCTGCTAGCCACTCAATCTAATAACTTATTTTTCTGCCAAGATGCAAGCAGGCTTCTAAGAACGTAAAACACACAGAATGGGAAGGCCAGAGCTGCCACCATAGTGAGTGCCAGAATGGCCCAAACCAGGGAAGATCCTGTTCTCAGTGATGGCTGAGGAGGAGGAAGGAAGGGCAAGCATGATCAGTCCTAGGAGAATGACTGCAGTTCTGATTTCTGTTGGCAAACAGAAAGATCTTCAAACCAATTCAAAATAGACTCAACTGGAGTCTTATAATTTGCACCATTAAATCATTGTTTTGAGTATCTGAAGTCTCTTTAGTAACAGAACTATTCAGTTGACCAGATCTGGGCTTTTGGGAGTTTCACATAAGAAAAGCATAGTATTTGTAAAAAGTAACACAACACACTCCTCAATACTATGTGCTACATTTGCTTATTAATTTAAAAATATTCTCAAGGGTACTTTTAAAGGGAAGAGATTTGAATAAAAATAATAAGGACTTTATTTCTGAGTTAAGACAATATTTGAAAACTAAAAGGAACATTAAGAAAGGTATAAAAATTCAATGGTTTAGGGGCCAGCCCAGTGTCGTAGTGTTTCAGTTTGCGTGCTCGGCTTCAGCGGCCCAGGGTTTGAGGGTTCAGATCCCAGGCACAGACCTACACACCACTCATCAAGCCACACTGTCGTGGCACCCTATATACAAATTAGAGGAAGACTGGCACAGATGCTAGCTCAGGGCCAATCTTCCTCACACACAAAAAAAACCCAACTCAATGGTTTAAAAAATGCAAACATCTTGAAAGTATCAAAAGCCTGTATTTATTTATTGAAAATTGGGGGATGTTTCTTTTCTCAACTGATAATATTAAAGGAAGACAGCGAGCAGCTAATTCACGGCTCATGTGAGTTTACTTATCAGTCAAAGAAATGTTAATACCAAACTTGAGGCTTAACTTGCTTACATATATTATTCAGCCAAGTGGAAAGTACAATTAGAGTAGAGCCAGAGCCAGGTACTACAACGACCAAGAATAGCATGTGAAAACTCATTTTTTTTTTTAATTAAATTAAAGGGGAAGAGAGAACAGTACTAAAAGTACTATTTTTTCTAAAGATCATATACTCAATTTCCTATTTTTCATTGCTCCATATTTCACTGCCCTCAACATTCTAAGCTGCTTAACAAACAAGAAATCTACTTCACTTTTCATCAGTTCTGCTCACACAACTGATGTTTCTGAAGTCCAGCAGCATTCATGAATGCTGGAAAGACCACGTGCAGAAGAATTTCATCTTACAGTGAAGAATTTTAAGGTAATAGCTCCAGAAATACAATGTCTAAAACTGAGGATTCCGTTAACTAAGAATTCAAAATGCTAAATAAATAAAATTTCTGCAGGAGACTATATATTTGTCAAATAAATAGCATAAACATAAGCTTTCACTGATGAAATAATACGAACCTTTACCCTTCAATTTTCAAAAAAGGTAGCAACAGCCAAAGTGTACTAGGTCCTATCTTCTCTCAGAGATTGCCTAATTCCATGTAGCCTATCCCTTAGACTCAAGACTCTTTCTTTTCAACTCATCTCCAAACTGGTTACACTTGAAGATCCAGAGACCTTCACAACAGTGACTCCCAGCAATTCCCCCCAAAACCTTCCCTCTTCTTTTCCTTTAAATTCTCAGATCTTAGATCTCGCCTTACCCGTGTTATTACTCCAGGCTCCCTGTCTTCAGTCTCTTTCTTCCTCAATTCATTCTGTACTCTGTAGCCAAACTCATCTTCCAAAAGAGGAATGCTCTGATCGGGTCATTTTCCTCATATCAAAACTTCCTGTGTTCCTAAATAAAGCCTATACTTCTCAACCTCACATTTAATGACTTCCAAAGTCTAGCCCCAATCAATCTTTACGGCCTTCTTGTCATATTTTCTAATTATACAAGCCTATGCTTCTTCAAATCAATCTCCTGTCCTCTAGAACTTTCTATCTTGGCTCATGTCATTCCTACCACAAAGAATGTCTACCACTCCCCTCCAGCTGCCACTGCTCACGGCCCTTTTGCATCTCTGCATTTACTTGTGTAAAAAAGGACACACAAATGATATCTCCTGCCCCACCTCCCAAAAACTGGGCCCCCCCCAAAAAAAAATTAACAATAGCTAGCTTTTACTACGCACCAAGCAGTTTTACACAGCATTTCTAATCCTCCTAATAATCTTATGAAGTATTATTATTCTCCTTTTAAAGATGAGAAAGTCAAAGTTCAAAAACATTAAATCATATACTTCGTAAGTTACCTCAAATTATAGACTTATAAGTTGCCTGAAATCATACTTAGTAAGCGGCAAAGCAAGGATTTGAACCTAGACTGCCTAACTCCAGTCACTGCTCTAAACATTACGTTGTTTTTAGTTTGAACCCTGTGACTACTCCCTCATCTACTTGAGATAATTTAGTTTTATATAATATTTCTACTTACTACATACTATAAGCTTTCTTACGTTTGTCATTTTTGTAAAGGGAGAACATTAAAATGCTATTTCTTTCTAATAAAAGAACAACGCTCAAATTGCAATTTAAAGGAATGTCTTTTTTGTCACAAAGATTTCTTTTACCTAAAATATTTTCAAAGAAATTCATTCCAACAGACTTTTTCAAAGATGACTGCAAATTACTAATCATACACTATGATGATTTTACAGATTCTTAATATGAGGATTTTGCGATTACCAACCAAGAATTGTAACATATCTATCAAATTGGCAAAGATTGTAAAAACTGACCTACTCAATGCCATTGAAGGTGCAGTGAGACACACACTCTTATACACAGGGTAACCACCCTCTGATCCAGTTATCCCACTTCTGGGAATCTATCCTAAAGGAAGAAAAAAAAAACAGAGATGCAATCAAAGATACATGTACAAAAATGCTTGCCCCAGTGTTATTTAAAATAGTAATATTATAAAGAATCAATCTGAAAGTCCCACAGCAGGAGACTAATATCCTGTTCAGAGGAAAAAGTAGGAGCAAAACAGTCTACATAAAAGCATAATTCCAATTTTTTAAAAAATTAAAAAATCTGTACATGCAAAGAAAGAACTAGAAAAATGTACATTAAAATGTTGGTAGTAATTATCTCTGGGTGATAGTTGATGGGTGATTTTAAATTTCTTCTTTACGTTTATGTTTTTTTCAAAATTTGCCACAATAGAACATGAATTACTTTAAACAGAAAAAAAATGTTTAAGCTGTTATAACCACTGAAAATGATCCTGAACCTAATGAGGGCATATCACTTGGAATAGAAACTACACTTCCTAGTGCAAAGAAAACGTCAAGCTTACTTTGTTTCCAGCTTCTATTAAGCTCAGGTTTACTTTTAGACTGTGTAAAGAATGTCTTCCAAAACTCAGTAGTATTCATGAAATTGTACAAGGTTTGCCACCTAAAAGTCAGGCAATTTTCCAACAGGAAGCATCATGATTAAATGAACTGTTTTATTGTATGGCTATTGAGAATAATCAATGTCTAACTAATCCTAACTCTAAACATGCAAAATAGAAAAACCAGAAAAAGCATTCTTGTTTTGCAAATTAACTAAATATACTGTTGTTGCCTTATAAGCACATCATAGTTAGGTCCAGAGAGGGGAGGAACTTGAAAATAAAGCTAGCAAGCTACCAACACTGACTAAAAATGCACATTGATGAATTTTGTCTACATGCATATTTTTGTTCCAGTGGATAGTTAATGTTAATGGCCCAGGATGATTTTAATCAGTGTAGAAAAAATATTAAGCTGTTCTACAAAAAAACAAGTTCTCACATTAAAAGTAGAATTAAAACTGCTAGCTGAACAAGGAAAAACTTCCCTATGATGTGGCACATATGCAGAAAAGCAATTTACCAAAAAAAAAGTCTTTAAGTAAAAAGGCAAAATAAGCAATAGAGCAAATTATTCTTATTTTACTATTAAGTAACTGGGAAACAGGTCTGCTCTAATAATACTAAAAAGTTGTTAGAAAATAAAACCACAGAAATAGCTGTTGAGTAACTAAGAAAGAATTTAAAATATCACGTTGATTTTACTTAGAAAATGACTATCAATCTATTTTTACCCTATCATGAAAATACATTTATTTATAAAACATATGTCAGGTCCTGGCAAACAAAATAAATTACTGGACTATAAATTCCTTAAAGCAGAAACTAAAGCCTCACATCTGAGTTTCCATCAAAGAGCCTAATATTGGGTCACCCAAATATCTGTTCGATGACTGAATCTGAAATCTATTAATGAAATTATGCAACATTTTTCACAAGCATACAATGGAATTTAAAAGGCAGTTCAAAAGACATCAATGATTTGGGCTAGATACTGAAAACTATATAAAATCCAAAGATTTGTGCTAAATTTCAACTGCTAAAATAAAAAGTTATGGTTGCTTGCTTAATGTTCTATAATACAGCCAACTTGTCTAGAACAGAATGATCCCATTTATAAATGAATTTAAAAATATCACTGAAAATACAGTGAATGAATTTACTCTCTGGAATTACACATTTGACAGATCTGAAATGTTCAGTCTGCAATAAGAGAGAATTTCCTACTACTAACTCAGAATTTTACAAACTGCACTTGGGATTTGTCCAAAGAAACAGTTGTACCCAGTTCTTTGTGCATCTCTTACTTCACGCTTTTGTCATTAATAACTAAATCACAGTTCTATCCTGAGCAAAGCTATTTTTCACAACCAGAATAAGTTGAGTATAATAGACCATTGCAAACAACTATGAATGTTACAGGTATATATACTTGTGAGTTCAAAGCAAGGCACTTCAAGTTTGAACGACTCCAAGTGTCTTTTATCAGTTATAATGTGTAATTTAGTATATTCCTATTCTTATGAAATATGGCCTAATTTAAATATATTCTGAAACTAAACATAGGATTACACGTTTAATTGCAAGTTTGGTTAACTTTATCATTCCACACTTTGAAACACTCTATCAATATGAACTAAATAGGCTAGAGATAGGAAACTATCTGGGAAAACTGGATATGCAAAGAAATTTTTTTCCAGATTTATCTAACCTATTTTATAGCCTAAATAAATAAGTCATTAGTGCCTAAAAAAGAAAAAAACCCATTAACTTGTCTAATGATTGAAGTTAATTTCATAGAACATATTTAATCCTCCATGTGTATATCACATACTTCTGAAAATTATATTAAAAGGATTATTTTTAGACCACTTATAAAAGTACACTATTTCTTGCTTTAACTCAACTTTAATCATCACATACAATTTCCCTTTTTTATTGGTGCATGTGTGTACCTTCTACCTCTAAAAGGCCTATTTTCAATTGGAAATGAGAGCATGGCATACTTTTCTGTTGAACTGCTTTGTTGTTCAGAGCATCATGATAAGCTATGCTTATAGGTTCAATACCCATTTGGATCATTTAACTTTGAAGTAAACTGCCCTCTTAATCAGTCATCTCAAAACTGTGTGCGAAGAGGACTGGAGAGAGAGTGTAGGAATCATTAAGTGCAAACTCAAACAACTTATTACAAAAATTCAAAACGTGAATGGGTCAATATTATCTCGGTATATAAAAGTACATAAAAACTACCACTTGTAATTCCCAAATTTCACAAACAAAAGAAGGAAAAAAATGGATGCTTCATCTGTCTCAGTAACATATGAAAGCTTAAATATTTTTATGTTGAACACTAATCGTTTCCATAAGATGTGAATTTGGCATTAAGTCACGCAGCAATATATGACATCAGAATGAGCAAAAAATACCTGGAAATACGCCGTAACTTTTTAAAATTGATGAGCTTAATTTGAAAAGGAACAATAAGAGAAAGTAAGTTTATGTTCACAATTTTAAACTCACTACAACATTAGGATATAAATGCTTTATATGAGATCGAGCTTCTAAAATAGGAGAATTTTAGGGGCCGGCCCGGTGGCGCAAGGGTTAAGCTCACATGCTCCACTTCTCAGCGGCCTGGGGTTCGCCGGTTCGGATCCCGGGTGTGGACATGGCACTGCTTGGCACGCCATGCTGTGGTCGGCGTCCCACATATAAAGTAGAGGAAGATGGGCACAGATGTTAGCTCAGGGCCAGGCTTCCTCAGCAAAAGAGGAGGACTGGCAGTAGTTAGCTCAGGGCTAATCTTCCTCAAAAAAAAAAATAGGAGAATTTTAGAACTAGGAGCTTAGAGGTTATCTGAGGTTCCATGAACATTTGCTGGGTCCCTAGCATGTGTCAGACGCAGTGCTAGGTGCCTGCAGGTAACTCAACTAGTTCAACCCACTCACTTTATGGAAGCTGGAGTTTCCTGGCTCATGCCAAATCAAGCTATCTAGATTTCAGAACCAGAAACCCTGAGCAAGGTCCTCACAGTGGTATAATTTCTATCAAAACAGACTGGTATCATCCTCCCTTATAAACTAAATAAAATTTCAGAGATGCAATGCTGACCTTATTTAACAGAAACAATAGTCTGTGTTTTGAATAACTAAAAAGAATTACAACAATTTAAAAACTCAACTGTGAGAGTCCTCAACTAAGTACTAGTTGCATAACTTATTACAAAGAACAAAACACGGGGCTATCATAGTTGTAGGACTCTAAAGACACACAAAACAGAAATTAAATTGCAGATACCTTTTAAAAAAATCCCTTTGTGGAAAAAAAAGAAATTACCAATATGAAAGATTAGACGCTTGAATGGAATGCCTATTTTACATAAAAGATCATCAACCATATACTAACAAAGTTCAGGGGTAACAGTAAACACTGGCAAGATTTGAAGTTATTTAACTATCAATTACAAATGACGACAATGTAAAATTCCCTGAGGGCAGAGACCCTGTCTAATTCATCTTTGTATCCCCCACAATGAGCACCCTGATGTTAAGTGTTGGAGAGAGAGGTGAGCTAACATATGAACTCTAGATGTGAGCTACTGGAAAATTCAACCTAACAATCTTCTTCTAACTCAGATTATTTTTAAAGTATTAAATAATAATACTGAATGCAAGTGACATTGCATGAAACTTACGATCAATAACTGTGGCCTCACTTCAACTAGCACAACCTACTCTTTGAAGGAATTCAGATACACCAAGAAGACAAGTATATTCATACAGTACTTTGATTCAGTAATTCTTCTGGAAATCAGTCCCAAGGAAATATTCCAAAAGAAAGACAATGTTGCATATACAAAGGTGTTCATTTCATTGTTATTTTAATAGGAGGAAAAAGAAACTACCAACATACCCAACAGTAGGTAAATGGACTATTTTGCAACCACCGAAAAAGGTTTAAAATGAAGATTAACCTCCTAATTGGTCTTCTTGCTTTCACTCTTGCCTCCCCCAACTCCTCCCCCATCCCCGCCCACCCGGCTTCTCTGCCAAGCTGATTTCCACCCAGCAGCCAAAATGATTCTCACAAACTTAAATCATAACAGGTCTTCCTGAACAGAACACCCTGCAATGGTTTCCCATCTTATTCAAAGTAAAATCCAAATTCATAGCATGGTCTACAAGGCCTTACAGCGGCCCCAGCTGCATCTCTAACCTCAAGCTCTCTCACTTTCCCTCTTGCTTACTGGCCTCCTAGTTGTTCTAAAAAAGACCAAGTACACTGAGTCTTTGCACTTGTCTCTGCCTGTAACCTTTCTTCCCCAAGAGAGCACCCATCCTTCACTTCCTTCATGTCTCTGCTCTAGTCTTACGTCTTTCCTGGCTACCCTTCTCAGCCATTGTTTCTCTCTACACTCTCACCCTACTTTACTCTTCTGCAGAGCTCTTATCATCTGACATATTCTATATTTATTCGGTTATGGCCCATCTCT